TATATATGTGTGTGTGTGTGTGTGTGTGTGTGTGTGTTTGTGTGTGTGTATGAAGTGAGAGAGAGAGACAGAGAGATACATGCATAAATACATACATACATATACATACACGCATACATACATTCATACATACGGACATAAACAAATACAAACACACATACATAGAAACATACATACATGTAGATGTATGTATGTATGTATATTTATCTTTGTATACTTACATACATAGATAAATATGTTATATATATATACTATTTTAAAAAATAGATCTTGTTTAAACTACAACAAGAGATAATGAAATGTTTTGTTAAATATAAATTGTATTTCAAAATTAAAAAAAAAATCATACATGCAAAAGAATAATTATGAAGAACAAATGCTATTTAATTTTTAAAACCTTTTTTATCCATGAGTTTCTTTAATTTTTTTCTCTAATGGGAATACATAGATCCAAATATCAGTTTCTAGTCTCTAGGTCTGTCAAAAAAACTCGTTGTTGGCGAACAACTCGTGTTCAACTCGCTAAATTTATCGTGTTCAATTTAAATACGAGCCGAATACAAACAATATTCATTAGGTCAATTTGCAAACGAACCGAACACGAACAAAGGTATGTTCATCCGTGTTCAGTTCATTTTGTCTCAAAACAACTAAATATTAATATTAATTTATATCTTTTAATATTAATTTTAAATATGTTTTTAAAAAATGTTAATTTTTTAGGTGGTATAATAAAAATATATATATAAGCTTAATGTAAATACATAGGATTTGGGTGGAGCATGTGTAAATGTCCCTAAATTAATTAAGCTTCCCGCTGACCCATTTTCCATAGATTAAATGTTAGATAAGTAAATAAATAATAGTTGAATGGTATGTGTATATATATCCCTAAAATTCCATTAGTCCCACATCGCTAAAAAAGTCTATTTAAAATACAAAGCAAGCAATTCTCCTCAAGCATAAGAACTCTAAACCAAAAAGTTAAAAGCATTTTATTAATTAAATTCTTAAAATTTGGTTCCTTGAAAGGAAGGGTAAGTTTGGCTCGAATTTGTGATTGAGCCGAACACGAGCTACTTTCAATTTTGAATCATGACGAAGTTAAGTAATTTTTTTACTAGCTATTTCAAATAAAAAATACTTTGAATTAGTCGAAGAAGAGCATGCTCTAAGCACCATGCTAAGAAAATTGTGTATGTTGTTCGTAGCTTATGTATGGACGACAGATATGATACACTGATGGCGAAGTTTCTTTTTTTTTTTTTTTTCATTGTGATGCAAAATTTTTTCGACGAGTTCATAATAGCCCAATCCCAACCTCCCAGAGTAGTATGGAAACACTCCAATTCAGTCGTAGTATCAATAATTTCCACCAAAACTCGCTCCTTTCCCAAATCCCAAAATGATTCAATGTACTTGTGTTCATAGTTCTTCAGAGTAATGGAGAGTCTGATCACAAATCTCGTCATTCTCGGAACTCTGCCCTCGAACTTTTTCAATTTTGTTCCCACTAACTTGTTGATTTCTAAAATTATGTATTTGTTGGGTGAGCCCAACAAAAAATTATTGCGTATGCTTGATAGGTTATATGGAGGGTATTGGGGGCTATATCTGCGTAACACACCCTATAACCTACTTGTAACATACTTGTAACCTATCTGTAACTAGTAAGTTTCGCGCTTCTGTTTTCATATATTTTTAAGTTACAGGTATGTTACATGTAGGTTACAGAGAGCTTACAAGGGTATAATGCTGACATAACCCTCAATACCCTCCCTATAACCTAACTGACGTACACGTATTAAGTAAGAAAATATTTCTCGGGTCCAGCTGACACCTCCAAGAGGAGAAGAATTTGCGTACGTAAGACGTACGCAG